GGGGGGCATAAAGTTGCCCCCCCCCTTTACGTTTTGTGGAATATCTCCGAAACCTGATGAGCTACGAACGTGAAACTTGGCATAGCTTCAGATGAATACCTAGGCAATGTTTGAAGAAATTTTGGTGGTTGTAGTACCTAAGATGACGTCACAGTGACGTCATAAAGTTTTGTCGTTTTCCGATATGGACCGTTTCTGATGACGCTGAGCATGAAACTCTGTAAATGAACTAGACAGCACCTGCTGTCATCCTAAAACATCTAAGTACACTTCCATCTAGTTCCTAACCAATAATCGGCCCTTTATATTCGGTCCCATATATCTGATGTATCGTGAGGAAACTGAGAGTCGCAAATCTATAATTTGACTTATGACATCACTGTGACGTCATTTCAAATGGGATCGACACTAGGGTGTGTCATCGAGGGGGTGATTCTCGCAGAATCAAACGCCGTAAGGTTTTTCCTTGGCACATTGATCAATAATGAATTTTCATCCATATCCGAGTCCACCAAAATTAAAATTCGTGCGGCGCCAGCCGTTCAAAGTTTTGGCGCCCGGCGTTGCAGTCTCCAATGCTGAGCGTCACCCAGCACTGCGAGTAACACCAAGTATTGTAGGAGGTAATAATGCAAAATAACTACCGCTGAAAATGATGCTTTTGAGCGCTTCTAAGGCTGATTGTTGCAAAAAAGCATGTCCTTAGAGTGTCCAATTACTGTTTTTATTGTGCTTCATGAATTAAATCGAGCATGGCTTCTGAAACTAAAGAAGAAGCTGCCCGATTTTGAGAAGCGGGCGGGGTGGAGGCGGAGACGACAAGTGACTCAGATTCGTCTTCTGAAAACACCGACTCCGTGGCATCCTCTGGGCGGTGCTTCTTCTTCTTCTTCTTCTTCAGCATGTCATCTCGTGTGACCTGGCCCGTCTCCACCAGGAAGTCCCGGATGAGTCCAGCCTCGGTGGAAAGGATCAGGGTATATTGAGTGAAGGGTAGGACGAACTTTGGTAGGAATTTCTAGTATAACTACTAGAAAACCTACTATATGTGGTCGGGACTAGCAAAAAGTTAGTTCAAACTAGAATATGGTAGCGCTCATGGTTGGCAGTCGTGGCGCGCACGTTACATTCATTTCTTAAATTTCTTAAATAACAGGTTTTAGGGGCCGATTAGTGGGTAGATACATTCAATTAGCTGTTAATAATTGATTATGCAAACATTCAAGAATCTACATCATTCAATTCTAGCCAAAATCACTCGGCGCTCCCAAGATTCGAACTCACGACCCTTGGATCCGTAGCCCGATACGCTACCGACTGCGCTACCGAGGACCGCGCGCCGACGATCGGAGAGGCGGATCGCGGGTGCTGGCGTGCAGAGAAATCTTTACCCTGTACGCCGTAGAAGATCGGCTGGGTTTCGTGAAAAATGGTAGAGGAATTGTCGAAAGAAAATTCATCGATCTATCATTTGAGACTAAGAACCATTGATTCCTTCAAAGGTTGACCGAGATATCGCTCGCCGAAAACAGGCCATTTAACATGTAAACCCTATGGGCTGGTAGGAAATGTACGCCGTGGAGCAGCAGTGCTACCAACTAACTTCGGCGGGGGCCGGAAAGGATCTCCCTCAGCGTCGGCAAAGGGCCCCACGGGCGGGTCCGTGGCCCCTGGTAGGCGGGGTAGTCGACCAACAGGTGTTTGGCCGAATCCGGTTCGTCGCAACGGACTTTCTCGTCAGACTCGGCCGGACCAAGTCGGAATCGGGTGTCTCCGGTGAGTGGGGAGCAGCTCACGCGGAGCTGTGCCACTGTGGTCGACGCTCGGCGGTCCAGTTCTCTCTCCGTGGCCCAGAGCGCCACATCGTCCGCATTCGCAGATGTGTACCTCCAGTTCCCGAGCCGCAGTTATAGCCGGTCATACGAGCCTGCAGGGTTAGCGTCCGATGGCTGCGCTGGTCCTTCAGGAAGACAGTCTCCTCCTGAGTGACTGTGGGCGATGAGACTTGTGCACCTGCTCTGAGAGTTGCATTTGCATTTGGCGATATCCAGGAGTTGTTGAATTATGCAGTGGCGGCGCTTTGCTGGTTCCCTGTGTCGTGCTATAATTGTCGTATGGGCATTTCCTAATCAGCCACGTTTTTTTTCGCCTCGTGAGTTATGATCCGGATAGCATAGGGCCCTGCCGAAAGTGACACGGCCGCGTACAAAACATTTCGTGATAGGACAGCCGGCACTTTTGTCCCAATAGCGACTGCTGACTAAAGCAGAGGCCTTCAGTTATGTCAGGTGGCTGAGTGCTCAAAGAAGAAATCCAACAAATAGTGCATTTAGGGCCGTGGCGAAAAAAGGACAAGGCAACTCTGAACTAATGAAGGAATCCCTGTTCGCGATCTATGTAAAACACACGACGAAAGTGATCAAAAGGGACTGCTATAAGCCCTACAGACAGCCCTACAGACTTCTGAACAAAACACCAGAGACACAGGAAGGAACAAAGCGCCGCCACTGCATAATTCAACAACTCCTGGATATCGCCAAATGCAAATGCAACTCTCAGAGTAGGTGCACAAGTCTCATCGCTCACAGTCACTCAGCGGGAGGCTGTCTTCCTGAAGGACCAACGCAGCCATCGGACGCTAACCCTGCAGGCTCGTATGACCGGCTATAACTGCGGCTCGGGAACTGGAGGTACACATCTGCGAATGCGGACGATGTGGCGCTCTGGGCCACGGAGAGAGAACTGGACCGCCGAGCGTCGACCACAGTGGCACAGCTCCGCGTGAGCTGCTCCCCACTCACCGGAGACACCCGATTCCGACTCGGTCCGGCCGAGTCTGACGAGAAAGTCCGTTGCGACGAACCGGACTCGGCCAAACACCTGTTGGTCGACTACCCCGCCTACCAGGGGCCACGGACCCGCCCGTGGGGCCCTTTGCCGGCGCTGAGGGAGATCCTTTCCACCGAGGCTGGACTCATCCGGGACTTCCTGGTGGAGACGGGCCGGGTCACACGAGATGACATGCTGAAGAAGAAGAAGAAGAAGAAGCACCGCCCAGAGGATGCCACGGAGTCGGTGTTTTCAGAAGACGAATCTGAGTCACTTCCCGTCTCCGCCTCCAGTTCCACCCCGCCCGCTTCTCAAAATCGGGCAGTTTTTTCTTTAGTTTCAGTAGCAATGCTCGATTTAATTCATTGAGCACAATAAAAGCAGTAATTGGACACTCTAATGACATGCTTTTTGCAACAATCAGCCTTAGAAGCGCTCAAAAGCATCATTTTCAGCGGTAGTTATTTTGCATTATTACCTGCTGCAATACTTGGTGTTACTCGCAGTGCTGGGTGACGCTCAGCATTGGAGACTGCAACGCCGGGCGCCAAAACTTTGAACGGCTGGCGCCGCACGAATTTTAATTTTTTGCAAAAACGGTTGCTATGCCGTGTGTTTGCAGGTCTCAGTGCCAAGGAATTTCTTTACGGCATTTGGTTCTGTTACTGATGACACACCCTAATCGACACCAAATTCGGACACAACCTCCGCTAGGTATTCAGGAAGATGTGTGCAAAGTTTCGATTTTCTATCCCTTTGCGTTGCGACGATATCGTCGCGGAAGTAAAGGGGGGCAACTATATGCCCCCCCAGCGGCCGGCGGGTGGCGCGGAGGCCCAGCGGCCGCTGGGTTAAGGCATTTCTCGATGTTGTGAGTGCCGAAACCGGTAATTGTGAGCCAGGGACCCCATTTTGGCTATCTCAACTCAAATCTAATGTTAAGGTGGGAGGGTCCCTTTAAAGGGACCCTCCCACCTTCAAAAAAGTTAATGAATTGGCATGAAAGTGATGTCGCTCGGTTCAGAAAGAGCAAAAACGAATATCTACCAAATTTCATCGAAAAATATTCACCGGTTTTCAAGATATTAGACTTTTACTTTTGTTTACTTTTTGGGATCTCCGCTGTTCCTAGCGACTTTATTTGAAAGTGCGGCATTTGTTGCGCGCAAAGCAGCATATACCACCGCGTGCTACCAAACGTTTTAGTAAAAGATTTAAAATCGTTAGATCTCCGCTGACGTCACAAATTCTAAGGGGGCATACCAATGCATTAGCCCCTTAGAATCCGAAAACTGCAAGTTTGAAATTCGATATCTCCGAATTAAAGCATTTTTCGATGTTGTGAGTGCCCAAACCGGTATTTTCAGGCCATGGCCACCAATTTGGCTATCTCAACTCAAATCTAATGTTAAGGTGGGAGGGTCCCTTTAAGGCATTTCTCGATGTTGTGAGTGCCGAAACCGGTGATTGTGAGCCAGGGACCCCATTTTGGCTATCTCAACTCAAATCTAATGTTAAAGGGACCCTCCCACCTTCAAAAAAGTTAATGAATTGGCATGAAAGTGACGTCCCTTGGTTCAGAAAGAGCAAAAACGAATATCTACCAAATTTCACCGAAAAATATTCACTGGTTTTCAAGATATTAGGCTTTTACTTTTGTTTACTTTTTGGGATCTCCCCTGTTACTAGCGACTTGGAAGTAACAGATTTGGAAGCAATAATTTGGCAGCCCTAAAGTGCGGCAGACGTCGCGCGCAAAGCAGCGTATACCACCACGTGTTAACGATGGTTTTAGTCTAAGATTTAAAAATCGTTAGATCTCCGCTGACGTCACAAATTCTAAGGGGGCATTCCAATGCATTAGCCCCTTAGAATCTGAAAACTGCAAGTTTGAAATTCCATATCTTCGAATTAAAGCATTTTTCGATGTTGTGAGTGTCCAAACCGGTATTTGCAGGTCATGGCCACCACTTTGGCTATCTCAACTCAAAACTAATGTAAAGGTGGGAGGGTCCCTTTAAGGTGGGAGGGTCCCTTTAGCACCCCATTTTACGGTAATTTCAGAGCTCTGACATTTCTGAAAAATAACAGCACAGCATGGCATAAGGAAGGGAATTGTGAGGAATCTTTTTAATTAATTGAAAAAAATCGAAACAAAAAACGTCACTTACCGTCAGACATTTCTAATTTTTAATGCAGCACAGACTTCCCCAAAGATATGTAACAATGAACAAAGACCGCAGTAGGCAGACCCGGGCCGTGCAGCGGCACCCGACACCGAAACCCTATGACAATGAGTGCAGTCGGTCGACACCCTGGTGGTAAATCTTCGTGGATTATCGCGCGTATCCGTACCCAACCGACACGACGCCGACACGCCTCTCTGACCCCATCCCAAGCTTCCCCTCGCAATGGCGTCGCGTCGGTTTTGTCTTCAACACGTTTTGAAAGAATGCGGCGTTGCCAGAAAAAAAAAAATAATTTTCTTATTTTGTTTGTTTTTCTCTGCTGCTGCTCATGGACCGCCATATTTCTTATCTCGAAATCAGTATGGTCACCGTGGAAATCGGGAGAAAATTATTGATTCCTGGCAAATTATTGACTCAGCACATTCCTTTCACTACCATCGATATAAAGAGATAGGACACCCCTATGTAAAACCCGCTCGCTAGATACATAAAGCGGCCCGGCGGCCAACCACAGTCGACATCATAGACTCGCTAATGCCTTCCTCGCATGTGTAGGGGGGGGGCGGATGGACCCCCCCATGGTTTTTCGGCAGAATAACTCGCGCAAAAAGCGGCCGATGACGACGAAACTTTCAGTACCCTCGAGTTGATCAATTTTACACCTACTCTGAAAATTTCATGACCCTGACCCAAATGACCTTTGACCTGTGACCTGCACCTGATTCTCGAGACCATGTTCGGCCGGAATCGCGATTTGGCGTATATCAGCTCACATTATCTGCGCGTTTCCAGTCTTTCTGTGATTGTAAACGTCCAAACATGTGAAATGATGTTCGTCCCATGCATCACGGTGGGTGTCAAGGTCACCTGAAGGTCAGGTCAGGTCATTGACCTTTGGAGACCTGGGTTCACTTTTTCGAGTTTTACATGTTTCTAGGGTGGTTCATCGGGCTGATTTTGAATTTAGCATCCATCTTAACATTTACGAAGTAGTTTAAGTGCCTTCGTAACATGTTACGACGCCGCCGGTGGTAGTTGACACCTACTATGGATAGCCGGTAGGACGCCTACTGGTTGACCTGACCTGACCTGACCTGACCTAGCCTAAATGCGTGAAGACATCATCTGTGATCAAAACTAACATGATATTCGTGATCAGCACCCCGAAAACCCCCATAACAGCTTCTTTTTACGTCACAGGGCATATTTTAACATACTGACTGCATCCCATTTGGGGACGCAGCCCCCTGCCTTTGGGCCGTAGCCCTCGCGAAATTTGGACCACTGCCCCAGTAAACATGCCGACGTCGGCCCGACGTCGGGGTGACGTCGGCAACTCGGCATCGGCATGCCGACGTCGGCCCGACGTCGGTCCAACCTCGGCACGACGTCGGCTGGATGTCGGATATGCCCGCATGTACCGACGTCCAGCCGAGGTCCAGCCGACGTCGGGCCGACGTCGGACCGAGAGCAATTGCTGAGGTCCAGCCGACGTCGGGCCGAAGTCGGGGCGACGTCGGACCGACATCGGCCGCTGTTTTGACCGTTAAGATAATATAAAATACATATTTCATGTTTCATAAAGAGCTTCTGTATTCAAAATATCCTCAGGAAACTCAAATCTTCCTCCACGCCGCAACCCCCTGATCCGGACTGGACGGGAAACTTTATTCCATTTGGCATTGCCCGTAAGCCGAGCTCGCCCGTAGCCGGGTGCGGTGAGTGCTTGGGGGCTGCTCGGCCTATCCTTTGGTCTGGCTCAGCCCCGGCAACTCACCAGGGCCGGGCCCAGTTCATATAGAAAGGCCAGTCGGCAAGTGTCACTTTGCCAAAGTGCCACTTATCAAAGGGACACTTTGGGAAACGTTGGTGCAGGTGTGTAAGAGTGGCTATATGAATCCATTGTGGGGTCGCCCTTTCCAATAAGTGTCACGTAACAGCAATGGGACCAGGGACTCTATATGAACTGGACCCAGGGTGCTCGCCAAGAAGACCAATGCCCCCATCCTATCATCCTTCCGGCTCTGAAGTGGTCTTGTCAGACCGAAAGGGCATAACCCAACAAAACAAACTAAATTCGAAATCTGGCTGCGTGGTGTAGTGGTTAGCGCACTAATCTCGCGTTCAAATGTCACGGGGTTCGAAGCCCATCGCCGGCTGATGCTTTTGGCGTGTTGACTGTTGTCCCAGTAAACATGCCGACGTCGGCGACTGGGGGGCTCGAATCCCGCCGCCGGTTGATATTTTTGGCGCGTTGTCCCAATAAACATGCCGACGTCGGCCCCGTCGGTCCAACGACAGACGATCTCGTCAACCTCGGCAAACGACCTCGGCCCGACGTCGGCTCGACGTCGGCTGGACTTCGGCTGGATGTCGGAACATGCGGGCATATCCGACGTCCAGCCGATGTCGGGCCGAGGTTGAACCGACGTTGGGCCGACGTCGGCATGTTTACTGTGGCGTCCCACACTGAAATGTCACGGTTTCAGCGGAAAAGTGCAAGCAAAAATAATTAGCATGCCTCGGTCTTTTACTATGCAACAGATGTTGCCTTCCTGATTGCTTTGTGCCCTGATTTAGGTACTATGCACCTAAGCACATAGGTACATGCGCTCTCCAGTCCTTGTGCCCTGCTGTGGTATCGTGATCCTGTGTTGGGAACTTTACATCATGCCGTGCCTGTGTGCGCCGGGCGGCGCCGGCCGAGTAGCGCGGGCGCGGACTCGAGCGCGCGGACCAATCGGCAGCCGCCACGACCGCGGTGACCCCGCCGAGCTGACCGGCGCGGCGGTCGGGTCAGACAGTGCGCGCGGTGCGGCCGGTCGAGGCTGATGTGTTCTTTTTTTGGCGCTTATTTGAACTCTTTCGTTACGTATTTCATTCTTGCTTTTACGTTAATATACTACATTGGCGACGAGGATCAAGAATTAAGTTAACCCGCGCACCGACGGGGGTCTGCGCCAACTTAGTACCGACGGGGGGGGGGGCGGATGACCGCCCCCCCCTGAGATCTCGAGAACGAAGCAAGATAGCGACAAGCGGTAAACGGCATCGGATACGCACGGTCAAGATCTACAATTTTTACTAAGGTCATTTTCAGGTCAGGTCAAAGATGACGTCACAGGGGTCGAAAAAGTCAAAATGGCGGCGCTAAATATGGAGAGAGTTTTTCTCGAATAACTTTCGAATTAGTCAAGATAGGAACAAACTAAGGGCATCATCGTGATCCTCTCGTCAATCCGCATCGAATGATATATATGTTGACCTCGAAAGGTCAAGGTCAAAGGTTGACCTCAGGTCACGTGACCTCGAGGTCATCATGTATATCATTCGATGCGTCTTGATGAGCTGAACACAATGAGACCATCCACGCGTCTGTATCTTGTTCCTGTACGGAGTTATTGGCCAAAAACCTTTGGTGACCTTTGATGACGTCACATGACCTCACAGCTGCCCAACAGCAAAACAGACCTCAAGGTAGTGAAGGTTGATCGTATATGAAATGAAGTCATGTATGGTATATGGGGCCATTCCGACCCGTTTTAGTGGTAAAAACAGGGAGTTGATTTTTCCCCCATTGACTTATAATGGGGAGGTCGCGAAATTGACCTGACCTTAGGTCACCGATATCAAAATTCCGAGATATACAAATTGTAGCTACTAATGACCTAATAACATCCTGCGACTTTCAAAGGCCTCCGACATCTACTGTAGCTCTGGCACGGTGACAAAGTTGCAAAAAAGTGACTTGAGGTTGGGTCATTCAAAGTGACCTGGTGACCTGACCTTGAAAGGTAGGAGGTTCAAACTTGCACACCATGTGTAAAATTGATAAGGGAATAGTCATACCAAATTTCGCGGCGCTACGCGCCGCGGTTTTCCCGCTATTCGCGAAAAACCTCAGGGGGGGGGGCGGATATCCGCCCCCCCCGTCGGTGCGCGGGTTAATAGCGCTCAAGATATCAAGATGTATCAGGCACCAGCTCCGCCGGAGTTCCTCTCCAAGCCGGGACAGCGTCCTGGTAACTGGCAGGCGTGGTTCGAGGACTTCATCATGTACGGTGAGGCCAGCGGGTGGTCTGATTGGTCTGACCTCCGCAGGACGGCGTTTCTGTTGACATCTGTCGGTGCAGAGGCACGTCGTCTGTACCGCGCTGCAGTCTCAGTTGACGATGCTGACCGTAAGAGCGAAGGTAGCGTGTCTGATGATCATTCCGGAACGCACCTACGTTTTGATAAGGCCGTAAGCGTTCTCAAGAAACTGTTTGCCAGTGACGCTGATGTTCGTTCGGCACGTTTGCAGTTTCGACAGATTAAGCAGCGTCATGGAGAGTCCAATGTCATTTTTCTGGCAAACCTGAGGGAGGCAGTCGCAAAATGTAATTTTGGGGAACTGACTGATGAAATGCTGCGCGATGCTTTCATTGAAGGATGCATGTCTGATCCGTTACGTGACAAACTGATCATGACTGACCGACTGACCCTCTCCCAACTGGAGGAACTGGCCGCCGCGCACGATCGTGGTCTGCAGCGGAAGGCCTTGCTGCAGGGCACCGTGAGCTCTCAGTCACCAGCACCAGTGGAGGTCGCGTTCGCCGGACGCCGGACCAGCGCCCCAGCGCGGAGGACACCACAGAAACAGCTTGCAGGTGGGAAGTCTGGGACATGTCGAGCATGTGGTATGAAGGGCCACTGGGCTAAAGATAAAGTCTGTCGAGCAAAGTCTCAGAAGTGTTGGAAGTGTGGCTCTCTGGGCCACTTCAGCAACTGTTGTCCCAACCAGAGTAAGAGTGTCGATGCTGTACAAATTCTGTCAGTGTCTGCCCAAGATGTCAATGCTGTTCGTGAGGTGCCATGTCCGTACTACACCGTGACCATCAACAGACACCCAGTGAGGATGCTAGTCGACACCGGTTCTGCGGTAAGCATCATTCCAGCGAGGCTCTACCACCAGAACTTCAGCAGCGTTCAGCTGCGGCCAGCAGGTCCGCTGTCTCAGTGGAACGGCAGCGGCATCAACGTCCTGGGGAAGATGACTGTGACCGTCCGTGGATCTGACTCTGGAGAGGTGCTCGCGGACATCTACGTCGCGGTGGGACAGCTGCCACTCATGGGCAGGGACCTGCAGCAGCAGCTGGCACTGACCGTGCGTCACAGATTACAGATTACAGATATATTCAGACAAGGTCCTCTCAATAGTGAGGCTTTTCACATGTCCACGTCATGATAGTGTGATACAAAACGAGGAACAGTGTGCAGCACGCATAATTCCCACACACGCACCCATACATGCTATTGCTCATGTCTGTTGCTTAGACAGCAGCACCTTTCGGATGTTCGCCCGGTACGACAATGTCCCTGGTTCTACTCCAAGTTCGTTCATACGAGTCACACCTCGGTAGCACAATCTACGTCTTCCCGACTCCGTTCGAATGAAGGGGAGGGTGAGGTAGCTGGCCTGCCTAGTGTTGTGCCGGTGCCGCTGGCTAGCCCGCTGCCCCAGCGTACCTTTGAGGTACTCCGGCTGCTCCGACACAAAGATACGCTCGACAGCACTCACTGTGTGGTATGTTACCAAATCCTTGGCAGTCAACCACTTCAGCTGCTTGATGACAGCCGCCACGCTATCACGTCGTCGCCGACCGGACACAACGCGTGCACAAAAGTTTATAACTTTTTGCAGCCGTCCTAACTGCACCTCACCACACGAGCCGTACACCGACAGACAGTACCGTAGCACAGATACAACCAGGGCTTCAACTATCGGCTTCAGTGCTGACCGCGGTATAACGTGACGAGCGTGCAGTAGCGCTGTCAGCATCCCGGTACATTTCCGCGCCACACCGTCTACATGGGACACAAAGCTGAGGTGACGGTCGATCGTCACTCCTAGATTTTTAACAGTTTCTGACTCTGTAATGGTGGTAGAGCAGAAAGTCAGCGTGACAGGCGGTAAATTGCGAAGCATCGCTGGGGTACCGATCACAAGCATCTGTGTTTTCGCAGCATTAAGTCTCATTCCATTGTGGCAGAACCACTGATACATTCGACCCAGTGCATCCTCCATACGCGCGGTCAACAGATTCAAGTCGCTCTTCTTGCCAGTAACCATCAGCTGGGTGTCATCAGCATACTGGACTACCGTGACGTCATCGGGAACACACAGACACAGATCGTTTGAGTACAGCATGTACATGAGACAACTCAGGGCGCCGCCTTGGTATACGCCAATCGCGTTAGCCTTGCTGTCCGACAGCAGTGTCGAACCGTCCGCGCACCTCACTTGGACCTGCTGCGAGTGGTGAGCCAAATAGGCACGGAACCATGTGGTTTCGATACCGTACACAGACAATTTGTCGAGAAGTGTAACATGAGGAACAACATCAAAACATTTTGAGAGGTCTAGTAGTACCAAGATACAAATGTTACCATTGTCCATTGCCTGAAGAGCATGATCAGTAAAGACGTGAAGCGCGGTTTCCGTTGAACGTTGTTTTCTATAACCGTGTTGGGCGTCCGAGAGAAGGAAATTTTCTTCTAGATAAGAGACCAACTGTTTTTGCATAACACGTTCAACTAATTTCATAATCGCAGGCAGGATGGAGATGGGACGCGTGTCGGACGGCTCGGTAGCCCTCGTTCCTTTCGGAATTGGGGTAACCAGAGCGTGTTTCCAGTCCTGCGGTACTACTCCGTTAGAAAGGCTGGAGTTCACAACATCCAAAACCGCATGGCCAATCCCGGGAAAGAACTTCTGTAACATGCGCACACTGACACCGTCCTTGCCAGTCGACATAGATGGTTTCATCGACAGCAATGTGGCATAAAGAGTGTCCAAATCGGTAGGTTGCACCTCAAACGCACACGTCAAAACTCTCGGGAGTCGCGTGGGCACACGTACAGTAGCGGCGGGGACACTGGCTGCCGTGGAAGGACCGATCGCAACATAATAATCATTCAATGCATTCGGCGTGATTCTCGGTATCTCGCAGGACTGCTGCTTCCTGCCCACGACCGGCCGCAGCACTCGCCACAGCCCGCCCCGTTCACCGCGACTAACGGCGTTCATCCACGACGGCCAGACCTGGAGGTATCGAAGATGCTGCTTTGGGTTGAAGAGCATGCCGCAGTGCTTCCAGAAGCTGATGGAGTGTGTGCTGACCGGTGTTCCAGGGGTGCATGTGTACCTCGACGATGTGATCGTCACTGGGTGCAGCCGGCAAGAGCACGATGACCACCTCCAACAGGTTCTTCGGCGACTGGAGGACCACAACATCACGCTGAACCGTCAGAAGTGCAAGATCGGAGTGACGTCGGTGGACTTCCTGGGTTTCACCGTGACTGACGGCAGGATCTCCGTGTCGTCTGAGCGCGTCCAGGGCTTGCGTAGCCTGGCGGTGCCGAAGTCGAAGAAGGAGCTGCAGGCTGTGCTGGGTTCACTGGGCTTCTACTGTAAGTTTGTTCCAGGTTACAGTACCCGCGTCGAGTCTCTCAGACGCCAGCTGAGGAAGGACGCTCCAGAGTTCGCCTGGACTCCAGAGATGGATGCGGCGTTCAACGACGTCCGGCAGGCGATCCTCGACTCTGACGCCCTGTCGATGTTCGACCCCAGCCTGCCGACCGTTGTCACGACGGACGCCAGCGACGTCGGCTTGGGAGCAGTCTTGAGCCAGGTACATCCTGAGGGCGAGAGAGTCGTCGCCTTCGCTTCGTCCACGCTCAACGCTGCACAACGGAGGTACAGTGTCACAGAGCGTGAGGGGTTAGCGTGCGTCTGGGCCTGTGAAAAATGGCACAAATATCTGTGGGGTCAAGAGTTTGTGCTACGTACCGATCATGCTGCCTTGAAATCGCTGTTGACTGTCAGGGGTGTTGGTCGTGCCGGCATGAGGATGTCTCGCTGGGCGGTGCGCCTGATGAACTACTCGTTTGCAGTGGAACACGTCAAGGGCCAGCTGAACCCGTCTGACGGCCTCTCCAGACTGCCGGGACCGGAGCAAGAGGTCGAGGATGACGAGTCCGAGCTGGTGGCCTGCCTCGCCGACGAGACGTCAGCCGTCAGCCGTGAGGAGCTAGCAGTAGCGGGACGGGAAGACGCTGAGGTAAGGGCCCTGATGGACCAGATCCCTCGGGAGTGGCCCCGTCGCTTCAGTGATGTTGATGACGTCCTCAGGCCATATTTCCGCTGTAAGCAGGAGCTAGCTATCGACGGTGAGCTGATTTTGCGTGGTGAACGGATCGTGGTTCCCACTATGCTCAGACCTCGGTTGCTGACGCTGGCGCATGAATCCCACCAGGGCATCGTCCGGACCAAACAGCGGCTTCGAGCGCTGTTCTGGTGGCCCGGAATGGACGCAGCGGTGGAGACGACCATCAAGGAGTGCCCAGCCTGCATCGTGGCCGACAAGACGGCGAAGACGAGGTTCGCGCCACTCAGTCCTGTTCCCCTGCCAGCTGCAGCCTGGGATAAGGTGGGACTTGACTTCATCGGCCCGATGACAGGACCACCAAATCAAAGGTATGCGATAGTCCTCGTAGACTATTACTCGAAATGGCCAGAGATGGCGTTTGTCCGTGAACCGTCAAGTGATGCTGTCATTGACTTTCTGCTGACTGTGACGTCACGGGAGGGATGGCCAAGGGAGGTTGTCACTGATAACGGTACTCACTTCACATCTGTGAAGTTTGGACAGTTTCTGAAGAAGCATGGTGTCAAGCATGTCAGAGTGTCACCGTATCACCCTGCAGGTAGTGGTGCTGTAGAGCGTTTGAATCGTGACATCAAATCTGCTCTCCAGATGGCGGACCAGCAGTCGGTGGACCGCCGACAGTACCTGCAGTCCTACCTCCGCACGTACCGAGCGACGCCGCACGGAACGACCGGCCGGAGCCCGTCCGAGCTGCTCCAGGGCCGGCAGATGCGGACGGACCTGGACAGCGCAGTCGCACCGGAAGGTGGCAGCACCGGAGACGCCGCCTTGCGACAACGGGTCAGCCGAAAGCAGCGCCAGATGAAGCGACACTTCGACAAACGGAAGCGGGTCTGTGCACCGACCATCCAGGTGGGAGACTGGGTCCGGTATCGGGTGATGCCGCGGCCACGTAAAGGACGCCCGCGTTTCTCGTCACCGTGTCGTGTAACTGCTCGTCGTGGACCTGCTTCGTATGAGCTGGAGGGTGGAGTGCGTGTCCACGCGGAGCGCCTGTCTCGCTGCTCACCACCCGATCTTCCCAGGTCTGCACCGTCTCCTGGGTGCACTGGAGTACCGGAGGCCGAGGTGGACCTGCCCTGTCAGCCAGTCACAGATTCTGCTGCGTCGTCGACCGTCGGGCTGCGACGGCGAGCGCCAATCGCAGTCGACGCCGCTGCCAGCGCTGCCGCTGGTGACGTGACGTCGGAGCAGTCGTCCGTCGCCGGAGCAGCCGCAGCGCCTAGCTTACCTCGCGACGCTGGCGATGGTGCTGTTCATCGTGCTGGAGGAGATCACCAGGCGGAAACCGGGACGACGACGACCGAGCGTGCGGGTGACGAGTCGGCGTCACCTTCGGAGCCGGCTTCGCCGTATCGAACGCGTAGTGGACGTGTCGTACGTGCGCCGGATCGCTTTGTTTAAGGGGGAAGAAAAGTGTGGTATCGTGATCCTGTGTTGGGAACTTTACATCATGCCGTGCCTGTGTGCGCCGGGCGGCGCCGGCCGAGTAGCGCGGGCGCGGACTCGAGCGCGCGGACCAATCGGCAGCCGCCACGACCGCGGTGACCCCGCCGAGCTGACCGGCGCGGCGGTCGGGTCAGACAGTGCGCGCGGTGCGGCCGGTCGAGGCTGATGTGTTCTTTTTTTGGCGCTTATTTGAACTCTTTCGTTACGTATTTCATTCTTGCTTTTACGTTAATATACTACACCTGCCCTATCCTAGGGTCGTACGCCTTGTTATGTCCTGCCCTACTATACCCTTAGGATATGTGACCTGCCCAGTGCCCTGTCCTAAGGTCTTGTACCTTGCCCTGCCGTTCCTTCAGGCCCTGCGCCCTGCTCTGCATTCAGGGCCAGGCCCTGTGACCCTCTCTGCCCTGCCCACTGCCCAGTGCCCTCAAACCCGATACCTTGTTGTCTTCCCGTCTTGGACCCGTTCGGTGCTGCTGCCGGTTAGGTGCTGGGCCCGGATTTCGGGAAAATTGTGCATATCTAGTCCTGTTCCTTGCCCTGCCCTCAGAATTCAGATCCAATAATACTCAGATCCAATAAACAATACGACCTATTGATAAAAAAATCAAATATAGGTAAGACTTAAGCTAAAGCTGGAGAAGATTTTCCCTGGACCTGGCGGAACCCAGGGAGGCGAGGCGAGTTATCACAAGCAACATAAGTGTCACCTTTAATCCCTTCCGCTCCCCCTCCCCTGTGGCACCGGGTGAGTATTGAAGCATCCAAGAGCGCAGCATCCAAGGGACGCAACATCCAAAACCTTAGCATCCAGTTATCAAAACGTCCAAATAACATCCAAAATCGACCCCTTAGGGATGATTCAGAGCATCCAAGAGCGAAACATCCAGGGCAAAGCCAAAAAAGCGACCGTGGTCATCGACCTCGACTCATGCACCCGGTCGGTTTGTACCGTCATTGAGATGTGAATCAAATCGCTGAGTGCCGAGGAGCTGCGAGCAGAGCAGCTCAAGGATGAGCGGTTGGAGCCAATTATACGATTTAATGCATACTTATGTGTCATATGCATAGGCAGAAGGATGTGGGCATGCGTTTCATGATCGAAGAATATGCCTACTACCGCGTAACTTCTTCGTTTTTTCCAACTAAATATTAATTATTCTCCCTCGTTCTTAAACTACAGTGGCCGAAATCCCACGACAGGAACGCAGATTTGGGGGTAAGTGGGTATTGGCGACCAGACTCAAGCAAAGGTTTGTGGCGACGCCCTGGAAAAGTGTCCCTAGAAGCAGGGCTGCGGAGTCGATGGGTTTTCGGCGACTCCGACTCCGACTCCGGCTTTCAAAAACCAGCTCCGACTCCGACTCCGACTCTGGGCAGAATTGTCGACTCCGACCGACTCCAACTCCCGACTCCGACTCCGCAGACCTATCAGGGCTGCGGAGTCGACAGATTTTCGGTGACTCCGACTCCGACTCCGGCTCGGGTTTCTAAAATCGACTCCGACTCCGACTCCGGTTACAACTGTCGACTCTGACCGACTCCGACTCCGACTCCGACTCCGCAGCCCTGCCTAGAAGTTCTGAAACCGTGGTGACGCCGCTGCTGGGACATGTTACATGCTACTTAGTCGGCTCCCAAGTAGGTAGGTACAATGGCTCCACCTGACTGACCTCGTCTATCTGACTTTCGAAGTTTCGATCATCCATTCCATGTATAAATTCGTCATTCACTTGATGGCAGGGTTGTGCTCGACTAAAAAAAAATTGCCGACTCGACTCATCATTCAACTTCAGAAAGCCCTGACTCAGCTCTGTTTCAAACAAGGAGCTGATTTTTCCCTTGACTCGACTCATGACTCAAGCGGCTCAATGAAAATATGAGTCGACTCAAACTTGACTCAAAATTGACTCAGACAAAAAAGTTGTTGAGCGGGGGGGGAGTGGAAAAAAAATCCGGCAGCAGGGCCAGGGCTAAGCTGTTAAGCGGTGGGGGGGGGATGATAAGCTTATGCCTTATATATATATATATATATATATATATATATATATATATATATATATATATATATTGTTACCGGTCGCGTGTACTTTCCGGTTACCAGCTCGATAGTCTCGTTAACGGCAAAAAAACTGTATTGCCACTTCAACCGCGACAACACCTCCCCGCGGGTTCCCAAGCTCGACTGCCTTCCCGCCGCCAGGGTATATTGAGTGAAGGGTAGGACGAACTTTGGTAGGAATTTCTAGTATAACTACTAGAAAACCTACTATATGTGGTCGGGACTAGCGAAAAGTTAGTTCAAGCTAGAATATGGTAGCGCTTATGGTTGGCAGTCATGACGCGCACGTGACATTCATTTCTTAAATTTCTCAAATAGCAGGTTTTAGGGGCCGATTAGTGGGCAGATACATTCAATTAGCTATTAATAATTGATTATGCAAACATTCAAGAATCTACATTATTCAATTCTAGCCAAAATCACGCGCCACTCCCAGGATTCGAACTCACGACCCTCGGATCCGTAGCCCGATACGCTACCGACTGCGCTACCGAGGACCGCGCGCCGACGATCGGAGAGGCGGATCGCGGGTGCTGGCGTGCAGAGAAATCTTTACCCTGTACGCCGTAGAAGATCGGCTGGGTTTCGTAAAAAATGGTAGAGGAATTGTCGAAAGAAAATTCATCGATCTATCATTTGAGACTAAGAACAATTGATTCCTTCAAAGGTTGACCGAGATATCGCTCGCCGAAAACAGGCCATTTAACATGTAAACCCTATGGGCTGGTAGGAAATGTACGCCGTGGAGCAGCAGTGCTACCAACTAACTTCGGCGGGGGCCGTCCCGCCGCGTCTCTCGCCGCGCCGCGTCGCGCGGCGTCGCCATGGCAACGGACAGTGGAGATGCAAACGCCGACACAAGATATCTATGATGGGCGCGCGGCGCAGGGCGGCTTGGCAACAAAGAACCAAACATTTTTACTCTGTTACAATATATATATATATATATATATATATATATATATATATATATATATATATATATATATATATATATATATATATATATATATATATATATATATATATATATATATATATGACCCGACTCATGAGTCAAGCACAACCCTGCTTGATGGTCTGATATTTCTTCATGGTTTTATTCGGCAGTGTATATAAATAGGATTTGCGGAGGAAGATAAGCGCAGCCGAAGATTTGCGGATGAAGATATGCGCAGACGAAGATTTGCGGACGAACATTTGCGGGGACGAAGATTTGCGGACGAAGATATTCGTAGACGAAGATTTGCGTGGACGAAGAAATACGGACGAAGATTTGCGTAGACGAGGAAATGCGCGGACGAAAAAATGCGCCGACGAAGAAATGCGCTACGATACGAATATTTGTGCCTACGAAGAAATGCAAGACGAAGCAATGCGACACGAATAAATGCGCCGACGAAGATTTGCGGACGAAGAAATGCGGACGAAATACTGCGCGACGAAGAAATGCCTGGAAATGCCATTCAAAGATACGGCCTTAGCTCTGTTCGCACCCCGTTTATTTATCAGCAGGCTGCGACCATGCTGCTACTTCTTGGCTCCTCATTGGTCGAATTCAAATGTAACGGAAGTTGGCACAGATTCAGCACAGGTTCAGCACAGCACAGATTCGGTAGGGGGAAAAAAGGCCCCGGTAGAGGGAAACCTTTATGACCCGCTTTCTCCTAGAAATGACGTCACAAAGAGGTAAAAATGGGTATCAATCGAAGGCTCTCGTTTACCCAGACACAGTCCTGCAGGAAAATTTCACTTTTTCCCCATAGGAAAGTTTTTACGGGAAAATCAAAATTTTGGGTCAATGGGGGGTCCCCCCCCGATTTCGTTCAAAATCGGCACAAAGGTGCCCCACCACCAGCCGAGAAATTTTCCCCATAACGGTCCCCGTTGCATTGACGTTTAAGGCCCGTAAAGCCCCCTAGACTCGTAAAATATCCGTAAAATCGCCTTTGTACGGACAAAAAAGTGGTGCTATGGTAAAAATGGGTATCAATCGAAAGCTCTCGTTTACCCAGACACAGTCCTGCAGGAAAATTTCACTTTTTCCCCATAGGAAAGTTTGTACGGGAAAATAAAAATTTTGGGTCAATGGGGGTCCCCCCCGATTTCGTTCAAAATCGGCACACAGGTGCCCCACCACCAGCCGAGAAACTTTCCCCAAAACGGTCCCCGTTGCATTGACGTTTAAGGCCCGTAAAGCCCCCTAGACTCGTAAAATATCCGTAAAATCGCCTTTGTACGGACAAGAAAGTGGTGCTATGGTAAAAATGGGTATCAATCGAAAGCTCTCGTTTACCCAGACACAGCCCTGCAGGAAAATTTCACTTTTTCCCCATAGGAAAGTTTGTACGGGAAAATCAAAATTTTGGGTCAATGGGGAGTCCCCCCCCGATTTCGTTCAAAATCGGCACACAGGTGCCCCACCACCAGCCGAGAAACTTTCCCCAAAACGGTCCCCGTTGCATTGACGTTTAAGGCCCGTAAAGCCCCCTAGACTCGTAAAATATCCGTAAAATCGCCTTTGTACGGACAAAAAAGTGGTGCTATGGTAAAAATGGGTATCAATCGAAAGCTCTCGTTTACCCAGACACAGTCCTGCAGGAAAATTTCTCTTTTTCCCCATAGGAAAGTTTGTACGGGGAAATCAAAATTTTGGGTCAATGGGGGGTCCCCCCCGATTTCGTTCAAAATCGGCACACAGGTGCCCCACCACCAGCCGAGAAACTTTCCCCAAAACGGTCCCCGTTGCATTGACGTTTAAGGCCCGTAAAGCCCCCTAGACTCGTAAAATATCCGTAAAATCGCCTTTGTACGGACAAAAAAGTGGTGCTATGGTGAAAATGGGTATCAATCGAAAGCTCTCGTTTACCCAGACACAGTCCTGCAGGAAAATTTCACTTTTTCCCCATAGGAAAGTTTGTACGGGAAAATCAAAATTTTGGGTCAATGGGGGGTCCCCCCCCGATTTCGTTCAAAATCGGCACACAGGTGCCCCACCACCAGCCGAGAAACTCTCCCCAAAACGGTCCCCGTTGCATTGACGTTTAAGGCCCGTAAAGCCCCCTAGACTCGTAAAATATCCGTAAAATCGCCTTTGTACGGACCAAAAAGTGGTGCTATGGTAAAAATGGGTATCAATCGAAAGCTCTCGTTTACCCAGACACAGTCCTGCAGGAAAATTTCACTTTTTCCCCATAGGAAAGTTTTTAAGGGAAAATCAAAATTTTGGGTCAATGGGGGGTTTCCCCCGATTTCGTTCAAAATCGGCACACAGGTGCCCAACCACCAGCCGAGAAACTTTCCCCAAAACGGTCCCCGTTGCATTGACGTTTAAGGCTCATAAAGCCCCCTAGACTCGTAAAATATCCGTAAAATCGCCTTTGTACGGACAAAAAAGTGGTGCTATGGTAAAAATGGGTATCACTCGAAAGCTCTCGTTTACCCAGACACAGTCCTTCAGGAAAATTTCACTTTTTTCCATAGGAAAGTTTGTACGGGAAAATCAAAATTTGGGGTCAATGGGGGGTCCCCCCCCCGATTTCGTTCAAAATCGGCACACAGGTGCCCCACCACCAGCCGAGAAACTTTCCCCAAAACGGTCCCCGTTGCATTGACGTTTAAGGCCCGTAAAGCCCCCTAGACTCGTAAAATATCCGTAAAATCGCCTTTGTACGGACAAAAAAGTGGTGCTATGGTAAAAAAGGTATCAATCGAAAGCTCTCGTTTACCCAGACACATTCCTGCAGGACAATTTCACTTTTTCCCCATAGGAAAGTTTGTACAGGAAAATCAAAATTTGGGGTCAATGGGGCCCCCCCCCCCGATTTCGTTCAAAATCGGCACACAGGTGCCCCACCACCAGCCGAGAAACTTACCCCAAAACGGTCCTCGTTGCATTGACGTTTAAGGCCAGTAAAGCCCCCTAGACTCGTAAAATATCCGTAAAATCGCCTTTGTACGGACAAAAAAGTGGTGCTATGGTAAAAATGGGTATCAATTGAAAGCTCTCGTTTACCCAATACCCAGACACAGTCCTGCAGGACAATTTCACTTTTTCCCCATAGGAAAGTTTTTACGGGAAAATCAAAATTTTGGGTCAATGGGGGGTCCCCCCGATTTCGTTCAAAATCGGCACACAGGTGCCCCACCACCAGCCGAGAAACTTTCCCCAAAACGGTCCCCGTTGCATTGAAGTTTAAGGCCCGTAAAGCCCCCTAGACTCGTAAAATATCCGTAAAATCGCCTTTGTACGGACAAAAAAGTGGTGCTATGGTAAAAATGGGTATCAATCGAAAGCTCTCGTTTACCCAGACACAGTCCTGCAGGAAAATTTCACTTTTCCCCATAGGAAAGTTTTTACTGGAAAATCAAAATTTTGGGTCAATGGGGGTCCCCCCCGATTTCGTTCAAAATCGGCACACAGGTGCCGATTTTGATTTTCCCGTAACAGAAATTTTGATTTTCCCGTAAAAACTTTCCTATGGGGAAAAATTGAAATTTTCCTGCAGGACTGTGTCTGGGTAAACGAGAGCTTTCGATTGATACCCATTTTTACCATAGCACCACTTTTTGGTCCGTACAAAGGCGATTTTACGGATATTTTACGAGTCTAGGGGGCTTTACGGGCCTTAAACGTCAATGCAACGGGGACCGTTTTGGGGAAAGTTTCTCGGCTGGTGGTGGGGCACCCGTGTGCCGATTTTGAACGAAATCAGAGGGGACCCCCTATTGACCCAAAATTTTGATTTTTCCGTACAAACTTTCCTATGGGGAAAAAGTGAAATTTTCCTGCAGGACTGTGTCTGGGTAAACGAGAGCTTTCGATTGATATCCATTTTTACCATAGCACCACTTTTTGGTCCGTACAAAGGCGATTTTACGGATATTTTACGAGTCTAGAGGGCTTTACGGGCCTTAAACGTCAATGCAACGGGGACCGTTTTGGGGAAAGTTTCTCGTCTGGTGGTGGGGCACCCGTGTGCCGATTTTGAACGAAATCGGAGGGGATCCCCCATCAACCCAAAATTTAGATTTTCCCGTAAAAACTTTCCCATGGGGAAAAAAGAAATTTTTCTGCAGGACTTTGTCTGGGTAAACGAGAGCTTTCGATTGATACCCATTTTTACCATAGCACCACTTTTTGGTCCGTACAAAGGCGATTTTACGGATATTTTACGAGTCTAGGGGCTTTACGGACCTTAAACGTCAATGCAACGGGGACCGTTTTGGGGAAAGTTTCTCGTCTGGTGGTGGGGCACCCGTGTGCCGATTTTGAACGAAATCGGAGGGGACCCCCCATTGACCCAAAATTTTGATTTTCCCGTAAAAACTTTCCTATGGGGGAAAAAGTGAAATTTTCCTGCAGGACTGTGTCTGGGTAAACGAGAGCTTTCGATTGATACCCATTTTTACCATAGCACCACTTTTTGTTCCGTACAAAGGCGATTTTACGGATATTTTACGAGTCTAGGGGGCTTTACGGGCCTTAAACGTCAATGCAACGGGGACCGTTTTGGGGAAAGTTTCTCGTCTGGTGGTGGGGCACCCGTGTGCCGATTTTGAACGAAATCGGAGGGGACCCCCATTGACCCAAAATTTTGATTTTCCCGTAAAAACTTTCCTATGGGGAAAAAGTGAAATTTTCCTGCAGGAATGTGTCTTGGTAAACCAGAGCTTTCGATTGATACCCATTTTTACCCTAGCACCACTTTTTGGTCCGTACAAAGGCGATTTTACGGATATTTTACGAGTCTAGGGGGCTTTACGGGCCTTAAAGGGACCCTCCCACCTTAACATTAGATTTGAGTTGAGATAGCCAAATTGGTGGCCATGGCCTGAAAATACCGGTTTGGGCACTCACAACATCGAAAAATGCTTTAATTCGGAGATATCGAATTTCAAACTTGCAGTTTTCGGATTCTAAGGGGCTAATGCATTGGTATGCCCCCTTAGAATTTGTGACGTCAGCGGAGATCTAACGATTTTAAATCTTTTACTAAAACGTTTGGTAGCACGCGGTGGTATATGCTGCTTTGCGCGCAACAAATGCCGCACTTTCAAATAAAGTCGCTAGGAACAGCGGAGATCCCAAAAAGTAAACAAAAGTAAAAGGCTAATATCTTGAAAACCGGTGAATATTTTTCGATGAAATTTGGTAGATATTCGTTTTTGCTCTTTCTGAACCGAGCGACATCACTTTCATGCCAATTCATTAACTTTTTTGAAGGTGGGAGGGTCCCTTTAAACGTCAATGCAACGGGGACCGTTTTGGGGAAAGTTTCTCGTCTGGTGGTGGGGCACCCGTGTGCCGATTTTGAACGAAATCGGAGGGGACCCCTCATTGACCCAAAATTTTGATTTTCCCGTAAAAACTTTCCTATGGGGAAAAAGTGAAATTTTCCTGCAGGACTGTGTCTGGGTAAACGAGAGCTTTCGATTGGTGTGGTTTTTACCCGTTTGTGACGTCATTTCTAGGGAAAAACGGGTCATAAAGGTTTCCCTCTACCGGGGCCTTTTTTCCCCCTACCGAATCTGTGCCAACTTCCGTTACATGAATTCAAATGGTCTATTCGCTAGACCAATGAGAGGCCAAGCTGCGCCAGCAATAACTTCCTTATATGGGGAATACCGACAGCACGCTGATATAAAAACAGCGAGCGAACAGGGCCCAGGATTCAAAGATTTGTCCCTTGGTGGTACATACTCGATTCCATGACGGTTTTTCGTCCGCAGATTTTCGTCCGACTTTTTTTCGTCTCGCATTTTTTCGTCTGTACATTTTTTCGTCTGTGCATTTTTTCGTCTGTACATTTTTTCGTCTGTACATTTTATCGTCCGGACATTTTTTCGTTCGTATATTTTTTCGTCTGTGCGTTTTTTCGTCCGGACATTTTTTCGTCTACAATTTTAGCGTAACCCTTAACCTAACCTAACCTAACCTAACCTTTAACCTAACCTAACCTAACCTAACCTAACCTAACCTAACCTAACCTAACCTAACCTAACCTAACCTAAACTTACCTAACCTTACCTACTGATGTTTGCCTACCAGGGGATAAGGAAAAAGTTACTTGCATGAATAGATTGCAAGCAATGGTAAGTCAAATATTTTTAGGTTAAGTGGTTATGCATCAGGCTTCAGGCCTTCGGCCTGAAGCCAGATACACAACCACTTAACCTAAAAATATTTGACTTACCATTGCCTGTAATCTCTCCTAAGGCAATGCCTTCGGCACTGCACTGCTTCGCCCCGAGTATTATTATGACGTCATTTGCCTCCACAGTTGAATAGCATTGTAGTATATTTTCACTCAACCTTGGGTGAACAGACGTAAAATTTATTGAACGAAAAAATGTCCGGACGAAAATATGTACAGACGAAAAAATATACGAACGAAAAAATGTCCGGACGAAAAAATGTACAGACGAAAAAATGTACAGACGAAAAAATGCACAGACGAAAAAATGTACAGACGAAAAAATGCGAGACGAATAAAAGTCGGACGAAAATCTGCGGGCGAAAAACTGTCCGACGAAAAAATGTCAGACGAAATTTTGTCCGGACACGTACATACTCTGCCTTGCCTTGTGTGGTGTATCCTCTTGGTTTGCTCTCGGTAATAATTTTTACGACCCGTATTTTTCGATGGAATCAGAATGGTGCCAAAGTGGTACCAAAATAATGGAATAATTGGGTGGTAGAAGTGTGGCGTACAAAACCGGTGAGTGTGTTTGACCCAGCTGACTCAGCTGCATCCCCAGTCATTTCAACCTAGTATGGCATGTTTTTGTTAATTTTGACAACTTAGGACATCAATCAACAAATCTTGAATCGTTTGTGCCAATTCATTATAAACCTTTGTCTGAGAGAGCAAAAATAAAAAATGAGTTGCTGGGACACTTGTTCCCTGAAAATGTAAACATTGTATTATGGTGTCATATTTCCATATGTAATTCTGTATTTTGATTATTTATATTTTTCCTTGATATGTGTGTTGTTTAGAGTACAGTTTTGGCTTATAGTTTCAATGCTTTGAATGTTATATGGGTATTTGGTAAAAGTATACATTAAGTCCGAGTGACTGTTAAATAAAGTTTTCATGGGTACCCGTCAATATTCGTGGAGATTTGGGTCGATATTTGTCCCACAACTGATTTCCTAGAAATCATTACCTTTTCATAAACCATGCACCCTAGGCTGTTCACAGTTGAAATTATTCAAAAATGCCATTGCGCATGCGCGTAAAATGGTCCGTGACCCAGAAAAAATACAATTTTCCTCTGGGTCATGCATTATCAAACCAGATACGTTCACTCACCTCATGTGCGATATAACCCCCTTATCGACAATGACCTTCTCCACACGTAGGCGGAAAGACTTGCATGTCTTGATGATGTAGATGGGCAGAATTTCTCTTCTGGGTCACGATTTTTTTCCTGGGTCACGCTAAAATTTGTGGCCCAGAAGAAAAAAATGCGTGACCCAGGGGAATGGTTTTTACAGTTTTCCGAATATGGCAAGTTTGTTATCGAATACTAATCTCCAAGTACATCTTATCTGGAGTACCTGAGCACGCAGCAACACGACACTGTGATTCTTTTCGACACTTACCAGCCACAAGCCACAAGGGCGTGTGACCCAGAATAAAGAAATCTTATGGCACGCAGGAGATGATTTCCCCTGGGTTCGCCCAGCCCAACTGACAGTTTTCAGTTTCCGTCCCCGCTCTCTGCGCCTTCACGGGATAGGACCATATGCACGGTTCGTCGGAAGGTCATCTCAGGCTCAAAAGAAACGGTATATACCATTCGAAAGCTGACGGTGAGCTGAATCCAAAAATGTATTTTTTATCAAAATCGATCGATGGCCTTTTTTGAAAATTGCGTTTTTGTAAAAACTTAATAATCTTTTATTCAACGGGCTGTCCTGGACATTCTTGAAAACATAAACATGTATTTTTGAGTTCCAGTGAAAGCTGAACGCCAAAAGAACAATATTTAGCGAAGCAATATTTCCAAACATTAATATGCGTCTCCCACAGCCGACAATAAGGCGCAATCACACATCTCAGTGTCACGATGGACCAAAGTCAGCCACACAGAAGCGTGAAATGACCCTTATCGACTCGCAGACCCGGCGCTCTCGGCCCGCCTGACCGGCCACGGAAAGAACGTTCGGCTCTCGTTCTACTAAACAAATGTAATATTTGCCACTTTAACTGTCCACATCGCTATTAAAGTTACTCAGGATACCTGTGAAGAAAATTCATTGTTCTGCTTGATTTACAACATGCTTTAATTTACATTTTTCTTATACATGTTTTGTTCCATCCAGCTGCGATCAGTGCCCGCGGAGGGGAAGTGAGCGGGGTTTCACTGTCAGAGGCTGTACTGGTGACAGCTGCTCGGCCGTGCGACCGGTCAAAGGTTACCCTGCCCCGCCGGGCGCTACCCCCACTCCACCCGAGCTGAGGCCGGTGCAGCCTCTGACATTTCAGCGCGGCCAATTTTCCTTATATGGGCATGATACCAAGCTCAATTGAGCAAAGTAGACATGAACAGATGCAAATTAATGCATGATGTGAAGATGACAGAACAATGAATTTTCTTCACAGGTATCCTGAATAGCTTTAATAGCGATGTGGACAGTTAAACTGACAACTTTGACATTTGTTTAGTAGAACGAGAGCCGAACGTTCTTTCCGTGGCCGGTCAGGCGGGCCGAGAGCGCCGGGTCTGCGAGTCGATAGGCCCGGGCAGCGCTTGTCGAACAGCACTGCGGATCCGAAGGTTGGGACTTTAATTGTGAAAAACCGCCCGCCCGCCGCAAAACGCAAAACCGCAAAACGCGCAAAACGCACGCCCAAAACGCCAACGCAAACTTCGCGAAAAAAAAACAATCGCACGCCCGCCGAAAACCGCAGAAAAAAAAACTAAAAAAACGCCGCCAAAAAACGCCCGTCCGCCGCAAAACGCTAACACCGCCGCCGCAAAAAGAAACCGCATCGCCCGCCGCTAACCGCGAAACGCCGCAAAAAAACGGCCGCCCGCCGCAAACCGCAACACCGCAAATAACAGCCGGCCGCCGGCAACCGCAAAACGCCGCAAAAAACGGCCGCCCGCCGCCAAACGCAAACACCGCAAAAACACCCGCATCGCCCGCCCGCCCGCCGCCAAACACAAACACCGCAAAAAACGCAAATACCGCCGCAAAAAACGCCCGCATCGCACGCACGCCCGCCGCCAACCGCAAACCGCCGCAAAAACGGCCGCCCGCCGCCAAACGCAAGCACCACAAAAAGACGCAAAAACGGCCGCCCGCCGCCAAACGCCAACACAAAAAAAAAACGCAAACTCCGTCGCAAAAAAAAACACACGCCGTCCGCAAAACGCTAACATTGACGCATTAATACAAATATGGCGCCTTGCGGCAAGTGTGGTGCATTCATATCTGCTGTTTAAGCAACCAACCCTCCATCAGCGCATTCTAATCGTCCCATGTTCGACAAAGTAACGCACATTATGCGCTTTGCGGCAAAAATGGCGCCTTGAGACAAACGTGGCGCACTGCAACAAACTTGGCGCATTCGTTTCTGTCGCTTAACAATTCGTCCACCCACCAAATTCTAGTCCAATCGGACATAAACTGACAAAGTTATGTTTATTTGAATATTTCACCATAAAATATCTCCGCAACGGAGGTGCCCGGATTTGCACGTGTGCCACGTGACCACCGGTGGTGTAAGCAGGACTTGTCCCCTCACTGACTGCACCATTTCAGGTTTCTTAACTGGTGCAGTCTACGTGCTATAAGGCCACAAATCGGCAAACACACGATAATCTGGCAGGTACGTGACTCAAACACGTGGCCACGTGGCACGTGTCGGACCTCTGATAGCTTCACCGTTCACGCCACGTGATGACCCATCGACGTGGCCATTAGCATGTAAAAGATGACCCCGGCCGGTGTCACCGTCACTGAACAGTGGACGGCTAATCTTCAAAAACGGGAAAATTGAGGGAAATTTTACCTTTCGAATATATAATTTCCCCAGAATTTAATTTTTTTATTTTACAAAAAATCCGAGATAGCAGTCTTTTAGACCCCTTCATGTTGTGTCTATAACCGTTTTCAGATCGACCCTATCATAAAAACTGACAGCCTGACGGCCAATTCCCCCATTCCTTGGATTTCACAATGCTAGTATATTTAAGCACCAAAATTGACCCCGTGCCACGGCACGTGCAATAGCACGTGCGACACGTGACCACTAGTGCGACAAGCTGGACTCATCTGCTCAACGGCTGCACTGATTTGGTGTCGCTAGGTGGAGTGGTTTCCACGCCATAGGACCCCGAGTAGGCCAATGTCGGATTTTTCCGGAGGTTCCCCCATCAAACACGTTTGCACGTGGCACGTGCTTTTCAATCGCCCCATATCTGACCCATACCATGTGGTAGCCAACACTCCGGGGCACAACATATTTGAACATTTTCAAAATCTAACGTGGAAATTTTTGGCAAAGTCGATTTGAAAATAATTTTTCGAAATTGCCATAGGCTCAACATGGGGTAACTGTCCGTCACGATTACCCGAAATTGTACCCTATGATTTTTAAATAATTAACATCAAAAGGTGAGGTGCCAGGCCAAGATCCGATCCTAAAAATATCAGCAAATATAATTGACGAAATTTTTGGTAAATCGAATTTCCAATTTTCCCCCATGTTAACCCTATGGGAAAATGCACGTGCCGATTACCCCAAAACGGGCCCATTATATTTTATGCAACTTTGCCAGAAGGTAGCTCCCCCATAGGGGACCAAGCGCTGAAAATGGCAAGAAAGTTGACCGTGCCGTTTTTGCCCCAATCAAAATGTCCCAAATCGCGGCAGAAACGCTAAACACCCCCCTAGAGAGGTAGCTCAGGTTGGGATTTTCAATAGAAAATCACAATTCTAAAGAATAGTGATTGTTCTTAATTGAAAAGTCCCAACCTTCGGATAGGCCCGGGCAGCGCTTGTCGAACAGCACTGCGGATCCGAAGGTTGGGACTTTAATTGTGAAAAACCGCCCGCCCGCCCGCCACCAAACGCAAACACCGCAAAACGCGCAAAACGCACGCCTAAAACGCCAACGCAAACTTCGCAAACAAACAATCGCCCGCCCGCCGAAAACCGCAGAAAAAAAACGCACAAAATGCCGCAAAAAAACTCGCGTCCGCCGCAAAACACAAACACCGCAAAAAACGCAAACACCGCCGCCGCAAAAAAACGCCCGCATCGCCCGCCGCCAACCGCGAAACGCCGCAAAAAAACGGCCGCACGCCGCGAACCGCAAAACGCCGCAAAAACGGCCGCCCGCCGCAAACCGCTAAACGCCGCAAAAAACGACCGCCCGCCGCTAACCGCAAATAACGGCCGGCCGCCGGCAACCGCAAAACGCCGTAAAAAACCGCCGCCCGCCGCAAACCACAAAACGCCGCAAAAAACGGTCGCCCGCCACAAACCGCAAAACGCCGCAAAAAACGGCCGCCCGCCGCAAACCGCCGCTAAAACGGCCGCCCGCCGCCAAACGCAAACAGCAAAAACACCCGCATCGCCCGCCCGCCCGCCGCCAAACACAAAAACCGCACAAAACGCAAACACCGCCGCAAAAAAACGCCCGCAACGCACGCACGCCCGCCGCCAACCGCAAAACGCCGCAAAAAAACAGCCGCCCG